TCCTTTCCATATTAATGAGCCATTCACATAAGTGCAGTACACAATTACCTAAGAGAAAGAGCAACCTTGAGAAAAGGAAAGAGCCTTAGCCTCGCAGGGCTTAGTTCCCTTTGTATTCGTAGCAATTTCAAATGCCTCTCTTGCCTCATAATTATCCTAAATGGTTTATTGAGATACCAAATTGATTATGCACTAGTAAATTCCTTTTCTATCTACATCCAATCCCTGGTGAGTGGTGGTGGGCACCTGGAACTGAAAATCGAAAGCGAAATACGGACCAAATTGGACCACACCGAACAGTTTGATTTTTGCAGTTATGAAACAGTTTGGGGTTGAAACTGAACTGCAGGCTAAAAAAAAAAAAGTTTGGTTTCGGTTCTTATTTCTTAACATCTAGAGCCGAACCAAAACCAAACCGCACCTCATAATATAAAAAAATATATTTAATTTAATAGCCAATTAAGTGTTGGAGTGTAAGTGGTTATTTGTGAACTTGTCTTGCACTCAAAGATACTAAATTTCCTTGTAATCTTATATTTCTTAGGTACCAAGTAGCATAATATATTAGAGTAGGCTTTTTAAAGTTTATAACAACTAATGTACCTTATATTGTTTATGTTTTTGTACTGTGTAGAGTTGGCCAATTTGAATTTAAGCATCGCCACTCTTACACTTTATTCACAACTAAACAACAAGCTCCAAGGCAACAAGCTTCTAGTTCTCAAGCTTCTAGTTCACAAGGTTCAATCAATGGATTATCCATCGGTTTCACTTTCACAAGGTCCAAGGAATCCCCAAGTATAGCATTCTCAAGCTCAAAGGCCTCCTAAACCTTCGAAGAGTAAGTGTCCAAAAGGAAAAGGACCAGGATAAGGTTGAACGATTCAAAGTAGTGACTCGAAACAACAAAATTTTTTTGTTGAATTGCATGATCAATTTATTTTTTGGGGTTGTACTCATGCCATAAGGCATTTTGGCGTTGAACTTTGTTTGAATTTAATTTTAGTATGGTAAACTTCACTTTTTCAATTGGATTTTACTAAAGTAATGTCATAAGGCATTTTGAACTTTGTTTCAAGTTGAATTTTAGTGTGGTGATCATCATGAATTTTTTTTTTTTTTTTTTTCAATTGGGTTGTATTAATGGCATAAAGCATTTAGTCTGCAAATGACTAGGTTTTGAACTTTTGAGTTTCTTTGAATGTTGAATACTTGTACTAATGCCAACCTTTTAACGGGCCTACAAGTGAGGCACAAACCAAAACCAAGACGTGCCCACCCCTACTAGTGACTCAGGACTGTGTTCAGTTATGAAAATGCTAATATAATAGAAAAGAGCTGTCTTTTCTGTATTCTTTCCTGGGTTCCGTTGCTATTGCGGGCTTTTTGACATCAATCAGAGCATATAGATATCCCATCAACACAACATATGTCTCTGAAAGGATCTCAACTAGCCACCAAAGCACGAAATCCATTATCCTTCAGAAAATTGATCCTATTCGAAGGGTGCATAATCGCATGGATAGGCTCATACTAACCCGTCAATTTGTAATACAACTTGGAATTTTCCTTTGGAGGTGTTGGGAAGGAATTGGAATGTAATATATACAGATACAGGAAAAAAAATTCCCAGTCTCTATTAGACTTAGTACAACGCCAGCAAACGTCAGCAGCTAAGCTTGTCATTCCATGTAATCCATCTTATAGTGCTCCAACAACTAATGCTGATTCCAGTAACTTATGAGATAAAATCGAATATTTAGGTCATGAATTTCAATCAAATTCTTCATGGACCTTCCAACAATGGGATAAAATCTTAGGAGATTGAAGATTACGAAAACTTTCTCGAACAGGTAGAATTAGCAACTATAAGAACAAGAGAAAGTCCTTATGGAAGATAGATTTACCAGATTATTTCCACAACCTCATATGAAATTCTATGCTGAGCATAGTCTCTAGCTTATGTCTCTGACATTTTAACTGATTGGAACTTAAAGTCCAAAATACATAAACTTTTATTTAAGACTAATACCGCCATAACCACAAGGAATAGAACACAACAATTAAAAAGTAACAAAAGAGAAGTAATTTTGGGCTAGAATTACGTACCATTCTTTCTCTCTGTCTTTTTCTCTCAGCCTTAACTGTAAACTCATCAAGCGGAACACCGTGTGACACATCACGCTCACTCTTCTTTCGCCAGACAAACCTGAAAACAGCATAGTGCAAACTCAAAAATTATCTTACAAACAATAAGCATCTCCTATTGAAACATACGTATTTGTCAGCCACCACATACAAGATAGATAGTTTAGTCAATGAGATATTCCAATAAGACTACACAGTTATAGCTGTACTAAAATAAATTATTCAAATCGGAAACTTACTAAATGCAGAAATTCAGAAGAAATTCAATGTCATAGAAATTCCAATCAAAACCAAGCCCGCCACACATTCAATGTCATAGAAATTCAGAAGAAAAAAACAAACAAAACAAAACCCTAATGTACAAAATTGCAACCTTCTTCTCTGCCTTCTTAGCCAAGTACTCAGAGATTTGCTCCTCCATAACGCTCTTCGACGACCTCTTCGTCTTGCGGTCACGGTCCTCGCTCTCATCGCTGTCGTACGACCCGTCGTCGGAGTCCTCCCGGCGGCTGCTCTTTCTGCGGGTGCTTCGTTCCTTGCGCTTCCTGGAGCTCCTCGCCGGAGAGGAGTCGCGGATGTCGGAATCATCGGACTCGGTATACGATGCAGAATCGGAGTCGTCGGATCTTCTTCTGTGGCGTCTCTTGGAGGACAACGACGGCGCATCCTTACTGCTGCCACTGCGTCCGTAAGATCCATATTTCGCGGCAAAAATTTTCCAGGGGTTTATTTGGGTTTGTATCGAAACAAATGGATATACAAAATTAAAATTGGACAATATCGGGTCATATTTCAGAGGCCCAAACCCGGCCCATATTTATTATCATATGCCTTTAAAACAAAAAAGCGGGAAAGCTGTGACACAGGGATAGAGAGTGACAAGTTGCCTTTTTATTTCAAAGGTTTTGCCGCTAAAATTTAAATTTTTTTTTTTTTTTATACCTTAAGAATGAGGGTACGGCACGACACGTAGTGGTTTGGTTCCGTCAATAGTGTTAGAGGACAATTCAGAAATAATCAGAATTTGAAATCATAATATTTTATTAATAAAAAATATTTGCTATGCAGAATGAAATTTTACAATAAATACAGAAATTAATATAAGAATATCAATGGTACTAACTTGATTACAGAAGGTAGAGGCTAGCATATAAGCTATGTCCTTTGAACAGTATTTCCGTCCCATTCTTGTGCTTGTGGTTCTACAACGTCTGCTCGATCAGGATTCAACTACCTAATTCTACAACTTGCACTAGATTCTAGAATTCTAGTGAATTTGCTTTGTGTGCTTACTCTCTGGAAAATTCGTACAGAAGAAGAAAAAAAAAAAAAGAAGAGGAAGAAGGGATGATTTCACTTAGATACTGTGATTGCAAATACATAGGTTGTTTCACACCCTTTCAAATACATGTTCAGCGTATTTGAAAGTACACAACTCTTTTCTAAGAGCTATGTCTTTTAATCAAAACATTTTTAATTAAAAACTTTATCCAAAAATTAAGATTAATGAATCAGATTAATTTTAAATTACAAGGGCCTTGATTAATTAATATTAATTGCATTTAAGCTATATTATACAAGCCTAATCCACACAACCACAACGTCCAAACCTTCAATCTATTTCCAAATAACCCATGTTCTACTTAGTAAATTAAAGCACTAAATCTATATAAAGGGCAATGAACCTTTAGTGTTTCCCGATGTGGGACACCAAAGTCTCAAAACCCTACAAATATCTTTAAAATGCACACTAAACCAATATCATAATATGAGTAAGACGTCTTACTTTTTGCCCATGCTTCTCCACTTACTTTGGATATCACCTCAACAATTTTCAAGTTACTCGCTTAAAATGTAATTGACGGGGGAGGTTTCAAACAAAATCACAAAGCAAGATGAAAAGTTTTCAAAGCGCATACTTAACCATCATAATATGGCTTTTTGAATGTCATTATCGAATCCAATTCAAGGGAAGTGATCTCGTGGGTGAATTGATGCATCGATAATGGAAGTTGGGAGACATTTCCTACTCTGTGCAAAATCTAGGGGCTAGGAAACTCCTTCCATGTGTGTGACTAGTCTTGGGTCCCAAGATAGGCAAATGAAGCGACGGATTTCGTGGCGTTGCATGTAAGACTAGAGATGTGTGACTTAGTTTGGGTCAACAGACCCCATCCTCACTCGTTTGAATTCTGAACAAAGATGGGCTTCCATGGCCTTCAACCTAGTGTCGGTTTTTTGTTAGTTGTAAGGATGTGTCGTGGTTTGTTGATCTCACGTCTCTCTCCAGCTCCCTTACTCCTTTTGTTTATGCTTCTACTACTGTTAGCCTAGTTTGACTTTCTCTGTTTTCTTTGACTTCAGCCCTGGTAATGAAATATTTTTAGTTTCCGAGAAAAATAATAAATAGAACCATCGTAACTTCGGGGTTTAAGTTGGAGCCCAACCAATCCATTAGTAACCAGTTTTGTTCTATTGTTTCGTCTCCCTTGACAATCAATGTATCAAACAGAAGTACGTCTGTGAAATTCGAGCTCTATCTTTCGTCAATTGATGAGATTATGCAACAGAAAATTAAAATCAAAACAGAGAATTATGTTTGCCAAAATATTAAAAGCACTTGAATCCAAAACCGCAAAATATTAAGTTCCGAAACTTCATCAATTCTATCATTCCTACAACGATACCAGAGTAATCTATAGCAAAGAAACGCTTAACGTTCTATGAAGGAAGAAAAATACTCGGCTGTGCGAACATAAGACCAGTAAAAGCAAACACTGTGCCAATCTGGTATAAAAAACTCTCTCTCCCGGAGCTTGAGCTATGGAAAAGCCTTTAACCATCGCCTATTTTCAATTGACTGCAACCTCAGCAGAGAGATAACTCGGATGATTGTTATCTTTGTTAGGTACTTTGGTCTTCGATATCCTGAGCACCTGAACTGCTTCTTCCACTTTCGCAATCAAAGAGTCCGGTGACTCCAATAAATTCAGCAGCTCTGAGTTGTCCATTTCAAGTAGCATCCCAGTTATCTTTGAAGCTAGGTCGGGCTGCACGTAAAAGTGTTGAGTAAATGTTAGTCTCAGTCCTCAAGCAGCCATTGCGTTTGGTTGATGGTGTATTCGGAAATTTTAAGAAGTGTTAAAAACAGCATCAAGAAGATTGGAATTTCTGATGGAGCATTAATACTGCTAGAGATGACAACTATAGAAACTTCTAAACGGGTCAATGTGGAGAAAGCGTGACCTTTTGTTTATGGACAAGTGGATAGAGCTGCTCGCCAAGTATCTGTTTCTGCTGCTCGGGAGAAGCGGCAGCAAGCATGCTACTCAGCATCTCCGGTTGAATAACAACTCCAACAGAATTGGAGGCAGCAGACGAGACTCCTCCTTTATTCATTTCTCGTTGACGCCCAGTAGGAACAGACTTAGCCTGCCCTGTCTGCTGCATGAAAGGCTTGCACGGATTAGAACTTCACGAGTAACAGATGGACACATCAGGCATACTTGAAAGCCGGGGAAACAAATATTCATCTCGGTCCTAAAGACTACTAAACTTGTTGGTTTTTTATTCATTATTATTTTCGAAGAAACCAAACAAGAATAAAAGCAGAAATTGTTTTATAGGTTCGTTAAGTGCTGAAAGGTATAAAGTCTGCAGCTATATACAAGGCCGACGCACACACGAGTAACAAAAGCTTGTTAGTCAAAGAAAAAAAACCTGCTGATTGTTTGAATCTTTTGCAGAGTGTGGCAACGGATTGGGCTGTTGTAAATGTGGCATATATGCGCCTCCCTGAGGAATCATATGCCCGTTCATTCTTCCCCTATTTTGCCTATGTTGTCGTGGAGCATTAGGAATCTGCAGATGCGATTTTTAAGTTAGCATAAGCATAATTGCTATGACAACTAGGCATAGGAAAAATGGTACTCACTACAGGACCCAGTGGTGGTTGATAGGCTGGTCCAGATGTAGGTAAAAAGCCATTGGGTCTCCATCCTGGCCACAATCCCAAAGGTTGATACATCAATCCCGCTCGAGGAGGCACTTGTGGAGCAACCCCAGATGGAGCTTGATAGTAGATAGGAGGGTATCCACCAGGGATCACAGTTGGTGAAGGACCTGCAAATCCTGCCATACGCTGTGCATGCTGAAGCTGCAGCTGCGCTTGTCTCTCCTCTTTCCGTTGGGCAATAGCCACATACAATGGCTTCCGATGAAACATATATCCTGTGAAATAACAATGGCAACATGATTAGCAGCGCGAAGAAAACATGAGATACAAAGGCATTAGGTAATCCGAGGTTAAAATACTTACTGTGAAACAAAAACCATAAATTGAAACACAAACTTAAAAGTGTATGCATAAAAATTATAGAGCAGCAGTTATTGCAAGATTAAAGAAGAAGAACTTAGAACATGTGTGTTCGATTGTCATAAAACGTTGTAAAGAAAACCGCCAATTATCAAAACTGAGGAATGTTACCATATAAAGATTCTTAGGTTAAAAGCAACAGATCTGTGCAATCAACTTATTACCATGAAAAGTATTCACAGCTTTATTGCCCTCCTCAGGGGTAGAGAAGCAGATAAAACCAAACCCCTTGCTTATTCCTTTGTCGTCTCGCATAATTTTTGCAGAAGTAATCGTACCACATTGACCAAAGTGTTCTGCCAGCTCTTCTTCACTGACATCGTCATCAATGTTCTTCACATACACATTTGATCCCTACATATAAAACAAAGAAACACAAAGATGAGATGCTACTATAACCCTGTTTGATTCACGGATATGAATTGGTGGGAAATCAATCCCCATGTCATTTCCCAGGAGATGGGAAATGAATGGGATTTAGGGTTTAGGGTCCTAAACCCTAAACCGAATATGCCCACTATTCATTTCCCATGTTTGGTGATGTTGGGAAAGTAAACCAAACATAGGAAAGTAAATTATACCAAACATGGGAAAGTAAATGATTTCCATGCCCTTTTCTTGTAAACCTAATGGAGGCAAGAAATCTTTGGGAGAGAAATGAGAAATCAAAACTACCTTGAATTTTAACATTTGCTCTTTTCGTTTTTCCTCAAACTGCCAACGCAAAAGATGCTCGCGCTCTGCCTTTTTCTGAGCCCTTGCAACATATAGAACCTTGGAGCCTATTCAAAATAAACCGCCGGACCAAATATTAAAGGTCTGTATAAACAAATCCATATTTCCAATCAAATTAATGCCATAAAAAAGATGCGTAACTTACCAAGTTGTGATCCATTCATTCCTTCCATTGCTCGTCTAGCATCATCTGGGTTCTCGAAGTTCACAAAACCAAAACCTCTAGAGTTCCCATGGTCGTCCTTTGCAATCGCGAAGCTAACAATTTTCCCAAACTCAGAGAACTTCTCATCCACAAGCTCTTCCTTGAGAGTTGGATCCAAATTCTTCATATACAAATTTGTATATTTAATATCAGGATTGGGCAAAACGCGATCGCTCTTTCTAACAAATTTCGCAACATACCTGTTACATGAGTTGTAATTATTGTATGGTTAATACCCAGAAGACATCTTTCAACAGAACAGGAAACAATAAATAAAAAAGCTGCACATACAGCTGCTTGTTTTCGACAGTGGTGCCATTTAGCGCCTCAATAGCGGCAATCGCAGATTCCTCAGACTCGAACTGAACAAAGCCATAGCCTTTACTCTTCCCGTCATCAAACATGGCCACTTTGCAAGACAAAGTACGTCCGAACTTCTTAAACATTTCTTCAAGCTCTACACTATTAATTGATTCGCTCAAGTTCTGCAACAGAAAACCAAATACTTTTACCATAAATATTCACGTCAGAGAAAACTACACATAATATGGAAGTATGTTCTCCATGACTTAGGGTTAAAGCAACATGACATACCTTGACAAACACGTTCCCAATTCCACTTCTTCTTGCATCGGGATCACGATGAGACCACATGACCCTTATCACTCTTCCATTAAGAATTGAATGGTTCATCACTTCAAGAGCTCGAATTGCTATTTGAGAAAAACCAAACGTGATAAGAATAAAATTAAGACCACATACTCAAGAACTTAACATTTGTGTATGTGCCCGCGCGCGCAAATTCATGTGTATGCGCTGCGTGAGTGCATGAGAGGAGTTGTCCCTCTTTACAAACCAAACAGATCAGTTAAGAAAGCGCACACAGCCCAATTACTATCAAACAGATCAAAATTACAGAATCGTAATTCATAGTTTTCTATTTCACAGTGCATATGGATTTCCAAATTCCAACAATAAGAACAAAAGAATCTCAACACAAATCATATATTAAAAAGGTAAATAAATAAAAACTCGATTCAAAATTTAAAAAGAAAAAATTAAGAAAAATTTATCCTATGTTTCCATTCAGGAACAAAATCAAATTGCTGCAAACAAAAAACGACCTTCTTCAGGTGTGGTGAAGTTGACGTAGCCGTAGCAGAGAGAACAGTTGGTGGCGGTGGCGGTGTCCCTGCAGAGCCGAACGGACGTGACACCTTTGAAGCCTTTGAAAGCCTCCTCCAGCTGAACTTCGGTCATGTACGGATGGAGGTCTCCGACGTACAGCGACGCTGCAGGAACACCCCCCGCCGTCGGCCCAGCCCCCACCACCGTCTGGGAATTATTAGCAGCCATGATCGCACGCAGAAATTTCAAAAACAACCAAAAAAAACAACGCCCGGCCGGCGTTCTCTTGGGTTCTTTAATGTACAGTAATTGCACCACCAACTCTTAGAGAGAAAGAGAGAGCGAGAGAGTGGTTCTGATGAGTTAGAAAGTAGAGAGGGGAACGGATGGGAATTTTCTCTCTTTTTGGGTATTTTTTTTGGATTTTTTCTGGAGAATTTTGGAGAGGTTAGAGAGAGACTCAAACTCTGTGAAGATTAAGGTTTTTTATTTTTATTTTATATATTTGTATTTGCATGGAGGTTGTTGGGGTCCTTTTCCACAAGGATTCATTCCCACAAGAGGAGTGTGGACGCGCGATTCGGCGCGTGTTGGTACGCGCCGTGAAACGACGTGGCGTTCCTTGAATCGTAAGCCCCGTTTAAGGAAATTCCCAATTTTTAAGGATATTTGTTGGTTTTGTTTGGAGGACATTTGGAATTTACACAATTTTAAGGAATTTTTCGCAATTTAAAGGAAATTTGGTATTTTTGGTAATAAAAGTTTTAAGGAATGTTATCTATTTTCTAAATAATTCATCATTATTATTTTGCCTAAAAAAATTTATTTACGTTGAATTATGTATGAAAAAGTAAGAGTTAGCAATGAACACTACGAGAGCATGCTATGTACTATTGTGATTAAGTATTATTCTTCACACATTCATAATATATAAGAGTGCGTAAATTACACTACTTTGAATGCGGCTTCTCAAATTCAAGAACACTTAAATGATAATTTTTTGTAAAGCGATTAACAGTTTATTATTACTGACATTATCTACACTCTTTCAAAGTGTGCTTAAATTTGCGAGTGTATAAAATCGAGATTAAACAAGAAGTCCTCATAGAACTAAAGCCTTATATTTTTTTTATACAAAAAAATTCAATTTTGAGTTAGATATGAACTAAAACTAATTGAAATTAAAATTAAAATTAAAAAAAAATAAAGAATAAAAGGATTGTGATCTCCCAAGTCCTAATCGGACCAAGCCCAGAAGAAGCATGAAAATAGGTCCCACATGTAGAATGAGAATGCCACGTGTAAACGAGAGAGTGGGGAGCGGGGTAAATAAGTGGGGCCCAAGAGCGTAAGACTACTTCAACTGTTCACACAACCATTTGTTCGTAGGGATTATCGGCATTTTTCACAACCAGGATTTTAACCCAAACATTGCCCTTTTTCACGCTCACAATCCCTTTCCCTCACTGATTTTCTCCTTTAAAAAAAAAAATATATATATATATATATATATAATTTAAAAAAGAAGAAAATTTGTAGTTCGCACATGTAGCTTTTGATATAAGTCACACAATGAGTGACTATAATAATTTGGTTTTGATTTTGTCAATTTTTTTTAACAAACGATACCAACTACACTAAGGGGGCGATAATGGGCTTAGCCTCACAATGAGTTAGCAATAATGTGGTTCAAATTCGCCTTTGGCAAGAATTGAACCTAAAACCTCTCACTTACAAGTAAAGATGAATACTACTAGATCGTAGTACTAAATGACTTGAATTTGTCAATTAAACCTCTTACTTATAAGGGTAAATTACACTTTCACACCTCAGGTTTAGGGTCTATTTCAATTCCTTACAACATTTTCAAAACATTTCACTTTCATACCTTAAGTACTATTTTATTTCAAAATAATACCTCTGTTACATTTTTCATCCAGTGATTCGTTAAGTGCTGACGTGGCTGCCAAATGTATTACACGTGGCAAAAAAAATATTAAATTTTTTTTTTTTTAAAACCTTAATCTTCAAAAAAAAAAAAAATAATCAAAAGCTGCAACCAAAATCCCATCCCCTTCATCATCATCCCCATTCATTGTCCTTCCCTGCAACCTAAATCCAAAACCACTCCCACCCATCCTCCACATCGTCCTCCGCACCTATCCTCTGCGCACCCATCTTCCCATCCCCCCAACCCGCAACCCAGAAGAAGGAAAAAAAAAAAAAAACCACCCCTTTCTTCTCCTTCCCGTCTTCCCCAAACCCACTGTACACCCATCCTCCACGTCGTTCTTCGCACCCACTACTTGCAACCCAGAAAAGAAAAGGAAAAAAAAAAAAAAAACCCATATCCTTTCCCTGCAACCCAGATCCTCCCAATAGGTGTGGATTTAAGGAGTGGGATGTGTAGAAGAGGGTGGTGTTTTGAAGATGTTGTAAGAAATTGAAATAGACCCCAAACCTGAGGTATAAAAGTGTAATTTACCCTACTTATAAAGAAGAAAAATATCACTAAATCGTAGTGCTAAGTGATTGATTGAGCGATAAATAAGATAGGTTAGTTTAAAAAAGAAAGTTTCCATGCTTGTATCATAATTCCAATTCATGATTTATAAGTTGGTAACAGTTAGCAGTAGTAGGAAAATATCTCATGTGTTTATATTTCCCGATGTCTCTCTTTTCACGTAACAAGAAATTCTAATACATCAAATTGTTCTCTCTCCAACTCTCTCCTTGCCTGATAGAGAGGAGGGAGATGCGCCTATTATATGAAAATCACTAAGAAGTTGTCGCATTAACACAAGAAGTGCCAAATGTTGAGAGGCTTGGGAGCGAGAGTTTCATTGGCACAGGACGCCATATTTCGATGTATACGTGTCGTATGACACAAGTGCATTGACCACATTATGTAGAATGGTGCTACTATGTTGAACAGTTGTAGGGGCTTCATATGATTACAATAATGGTACCCAAAAGTACAATTCCAACTGAATTAATTCAACTGAATCATCAAACTACAACACTTTGAGTTCTCTGCAACATTTCCAGACAACAACAATGGACAATTTTCCAAGTTTCTTGGAGGACAAAATACGTGTCAACATCGAGAAACTGTTAAAAGTTTCAGTTATGTACAAGGCTTGGAATCATCAAGTAAACAAAAATGATATCGACTCAGACTGACGTACAGAATTTCTATATGCCTAAGCTAAGTCAGCAATAGCTACAATAAATTTGCTCTGCTTCCACTCGAATACTAACTTCATTAAACTTGTGGAAAGATGGATTACCATTCTGGCAATGCTGAAGATGGAGAGCGCTTTATGACGCTCCCATTCACCAGTCAGAAGTAGAGCAGAACGATATACACTCGGAACCAGGTGCTTGGCAATACAACAAACAATAGCGGAAGGCTCCGCTGATCACGATAAATAAAAGATCAGCCAACCAAGACGCTTTCAACGGAGAATGGAACTTAGAATCTTATGTTTATATTACAGCAAGGGAACTCGTTAGCTCCACAGTAGGTGCATTAAGAAAACCAGAGTTCCTGTTGTTAGATGCTTGAAAAGGATGTCTCCCGATGAGCTGCTATGATTCAGCTGTCCTGCATTAATATATTCGTCTTTGCTAGAAGTTACAGAGACGTTTACTGACATTGAGCCTGTAAAGGAGAAACTCAAAAAATATGACATAAGTATTGGTAACTGGCCCAAAGTTGTAAAGGAAGTGAAACTCGTTATTCAACTTACAATCGTAGTTAGCCCACCCAATCCTTTGGCGAGCTAAGTCATAGACAAATATCTTGTCTTTTAGAACAAGATCTGCAATTGAAGAAACGAAAGGTCATCAGATGGCACATTGATGATTAGCATACATGTTTAAGTACTATTCGTAAACACAAATTATGATAATCAATTCTATCAGATGCTATAGAAAGAAACTGCAGATTGCTCAGAAGCCATTGCAGATTCTTTCGAACTATTGAAAGCTCCAGACCTGCACAACATGCCATGCAAGCCTGCACTTGAAATTTATCATCTACCAACTCAAACCTAAACTACAGAGCCTTAACCCTTGCTCAGGTTTTTTAAATTTGCCTCTAAACTTTATTCATTTATTAGAAATCAGCCTAGTTTGAGTTTTATAAATCAAATTCAACAGAATAACAAAATGCTCCGTATGTTCTGCACACACAATATGACTTCCAACTTTCGGCCATAAAGTTAATCAACCAGCCTAAATTTGGGGCCTAACCTCCTAAAATCGTCACCCCTCCCTGAACCTTCTGAAAGCCAATGCACCACATAGCAGCACCTTCCTGTTACAATAGAAATAACCCATTAGACTTACGCCATGTAATTTGCAGTCATGATGTCTAAAGAAACTATTTAAATAAGAAGTTTAAAGGAAGCCAGAGAATACTTACAATGATACCTGTATGCATAAGGTACTCCTCTGGTTTCAACACCATCGATGCACCTCCGGCAAAGTTTAGACTAACCGAAGGAAATACATCAGCCAAACTGAAAAATAAAATAGATGTCATTCAGATTTATTTATTTTTAAAAACATAAACAGAAAGAAACAAATTGCCACAATTATGCGCACCCTCCATGGTCCACCATTGTTCTTATGGAAAACTTCAAAGATATTTAGACAAAGAACCAACCTGGTGGAAACTAGATAACACTGGTTTCCTTTGAAATGGTGGGAGTCACGGTTTGTGAAGCAGCCGAAGTTATCTACAGATACAATCATAAAATCAGTTTTAAGTACGGAGATGAAATCATATTGTTTCCATGCAATATTATATCTGATGTCAAATAGAAAGGAAGGAGCAGATATTTCACAATCACATCAAAGTCAAGTTGGCCCCATCAGAAACTAAACCAAGAGATTAAATGAATCAAATGATGAAGAAAGAAAGAAAGAATTACAATAGGAACGAAGCTTAACTGTGCCTTAATTAATGTAGCTTCTGCCCATGAAATTACATCATAGATCAAGCAACACAGAAGACTCAAACACCATCAAATTGATATATATATATATATGTATATATGTGTATATATATATGTATATATGTATATATATATATATGTATATATATATGTATATATGTGTATATATATATGTATATATGTGTATATATATATGTATATATGTGTATATATATATGTATATGTGTATATATATATGTATATATATATATGTATATATATATA